CTCTCTCTCTCTCTCTCTCTCTCTCTCTCTCTCTCTCTCTCTCTCTCTCTCTCTCTCTATCTCTCTATCTATCTATCTATCTATCTATCTATCTAGCTCTATCTATCTATCTATCTATCTATCTATGATTGGAACAGATACTACACTTGATCGTCGTTGTCGTTTTGGGGGGCGGGGTTGTCAGTTAGGTTCGGGTCTCTTTCTCTCTCTCTCTCTCTCTCTCTCTCTCTCTCTCTCTCTCTGAGGGAAAGCAGAAGGGGGGACGGGCGGCAGAGGAGCGGAGAGTGGCAGAGATCGAAGGACACGCGGAGTAGGAGCCGTGGAGAGTGGAGGAGGGGCGGCGGAAGTCGGGGGCGAGGGCGGAGGAAGCAGGGAGTAGTGTACTGACCTGTGTCTGCTATCTTCGACCGGCGTTCAGCCATCGTTGATGCAGAACTCTGAACGGCCAACCACAGGCGAGCGAGCGAGAGAGAGCCACAGCTTACAGCACCAACGGCCACCCACAGTCTAGAGAGAGAGAGAGAGAGAGAGAGAGAGAGAGCTTCACGACAGGGCGCTTCACGACAACAGCAGAAGCACGACAACACCGAATACAATGGACCGAGGGCTCTGCACGACAACGGCCAGTCCAACGGGAAAGTTGGGTTGGCCCGACTTCGTGAACTCCGGTAGTACCCCACGGGACTCGGCACGTCTATCTGAGCCGTCGGTCCGGACCGACGGCCTGGATCTCGGCCGCATCTATCCAGGCCGTCGGTTGGCAGATTTGTTACATATGTTCTGTCGATCTGGGCCGTGGGCCGGTAGGACCGACGACGGCCCGGATTTCAGATTTGTCACGTTAGCGGTTTTAATAGTGTAGGGATATGCACTACCACCACCAAGATCTGCACCAGCACCCACCCTACCTGGCTCACGCTGCGGGCATACGCAGTAGCCCTGCGCCCTCCTGCTCATCGTAGCAGTGGAGTGGTGAAGGCCGACCATAGGCCGGGCGCTGCAGCGCCATCCATTTCAGAACTGATTGAATTGATTCGGCAGGTGGGTTGTCACGACTACCTAGCGATTCCAACTTCAACGAGCACCGCTTTGCCATCGGTATCAGCTATCACCCATAGTGGTGCCTGCCATCGGTATCAGCTATCACCCATAGTGGTGCCTGCGTTAGCGCAAATTTTGACACAGAGGACGGGCGGAGGCACTGTAGAAAGACAGAACCTGGAGGGGAAACTGCACCAGGTGCATACAAGGGGAGTTGGTGATGGCGGAGACGAAAGGAAGGAGTATGGCGACGGGGAAGAAGATGCTCCACGCCCGTTTCTCGATGGAAACGGGCGAATGAAGGTTCGTTTCCAATACTTTTGGCCCGGGGAACACGATGGCGGCTTTATTTTTGGCAGTAGTGGTGTAGAAAAAGAGTAAGCAGGGAAAGAGACCGCGCGGAGGTTCTCGGAAGTGGGATATGGCAGGAAGCGGGAGTGGCAGTTTTCGGTCGTTTTCTTCACCGATTCTGCCGATTTAAGATGCTAAATAATGGTTTTTGACCATTCCGAGTTGAATGGCCGTGCCAGAATTCCGTTTGGGATGACGGTTTGGGCGGCGCGGGCAGTATGAGCTGCGCGTGAAGATGGTATGGTTCGACGAAGGTGGCGGAAGAGAGCTTGAGTAAGGGCAGAGCAGAGTACGTACCTCGAAGGAGCGATGATGGGGCAATTTCGTAGGAGAAAATCCAACTTGGGAAATGAGGAGAGGAACGGGCGCCGGGGCATGCAACTGTCTGTGACTAAAGGTGATCTACCCGCCGATATTCTAGCGGGAGATTCTGTTCCATTTTGTGCATTTGACTTCATTATTGTCTTTTGCGCATGTCGAGGAGTTAGCAACCGTCTTTTTTTTCTTTTTTCCATGTTTTCTAGAGTAAATCCCGTTTTTCTGTCTTTTCTTTTTGCATTTTGCCTCCGAGCCTGTTTTAGCCGACCCTGATTTTCACTGCGCTCCGAGTTTTGCCGAGCCTGGGTCCCACTCCATTTCTTTATGGTACTCTCACGGGAAGAAAAAAAAAAAAAGAAGAAGAAGAAGAAAAGTAGCGGCCGTGAAAACTCACAAAACAAAAAAACGAAACAAATCTCTGGGCGTGATTGCAGCTGTATATTCTCGGAAGTGTTAGTGTGAGTGTGCCCTCAGTGAGGGCATCTCAGCCCCGTGGCCAGAAAAAAAAAAAAAAAAAAAAAAGACAGGAACACCGATTCGCCCATGAAAATGGCAAGTGGCAAGATACATTCCCGTAAGTGCCATTGTGATCAGGGTTACAATCCTCTGAGGGAACACAGCTCGAGCAGATCACGGATTCAGATTGTCAGATTCCAGAAAAAAAAAACAAGAAAAAAAAAAACAGAAACACGGATTCAGCCTTGAAAACGGTTGGATACATCAGGGTTCCAATCATATGAGGAAACACAGCTAGAGCAGATCACGGATTCCGCCCTGCCTCGTTGGCAGGGGACACATAACAAACAAAAGAGAAATAGAAAAAAGAAACAAGTTTCAGAATGTGACTGTCTTTGTTGTAAGATGCATTCAAGACTGTGAGCACGGCCTCCTAGACTACCTTGCCCGATATCATTGCAGCACAAAGGCCCTTTTTTTTTCCTTTTTCTTTCGTGCACGGGCAAAAGAAAACTACGATTTTTGGGACATTGCCACCCCTGTGTTCGACCCCCGAAAACTTCGGGTACTGGCCAGGACAACGTAATTTCCCAACACTGGTGGAGGTACTGGTGGTTTAAGAAACTTACTTTTTTACTTCTTCCATAAAAGTCGGGAACCGGGTCCGGCGTCCCTTACAAAATTACGTGGGGCCCTCAATGGGCAAGGCATCACCGGCCTAACACATAGAGGACACCACTAGATTTAACCCCACTGTCAATTTCGCAATCCCAACTACTCAAAAGGGAGATATGGTTAACGGGTGCATATATTTTCAGGTCTCTTTTCCAGGCAGTTCAGCCACTTTAGGTTACTACACCACTTCCAGATTGTGTGTGGATATATATATGGGGTTGTCTGAAACCGCCTTTAGGCAGTTCAACCACTTCAGGTTGATACACCAGCTTCAAATTGCCTACAAATTCATTGCAAATTGTGGGATGGGGGTATCTGAAACCCCTTTCAGAAGCTTCAGCCACTTCAGCGGTTTCAAGTCCCCACCTGAAATTCATGAAATGACCTGAAGTGGCTGAAGCTTATGAAAGGGGTTTCAGGTACCCCCATCCAACCATTTGGATGGGGGTACCTTAAACCCCTTTCAGAAGCTTCAGCCACTTCAGCGGTTTCGGGTCCCCACCTTAAATTTCTGAAATGACCTGAAGTGGTT